CCCCCCCGGGTTCCCATAAGAGGGGGCCCCAATATGACCTAAAGTCCACCCCTTAAAGAAGAGAAAAAGCCTGCCTCCCATTTCTTTATCCCCCCAAGGGGCATTTTGGGGGGGTTCCCCCCCCCCCAGGGGGCTCCAAAAGGCTTCCCCACCGGGGACAACCCCCCCCCCCAGCGAGGGCCGGTGGAACCCCCCTGGGGGGCACCCAGGGGGGGTCCTTTGGGGGCCCCGGGGGGTCTTTAAAAATTCGGCCCCCCCCCAATGGGGGGGGGGGGGGGTTTTTTCTTGCTCCACCCCGAGCCCCTTCGGTCCGGACCGGTGCCCTCCCCGAGGGTCGGCTTGCACAAGGTTTGAGCCGGGGGCCCTCGGCCCCAAGTGCAGTGTCCCCCTCCCGCGGGAGCGACCCAATGCGGTGCATACCCTTGGATCTTGGCAGGCTTCCCAGGGCGCGATCAAAGCGGGGGTCGCAACAAGCAGTCCCCCCCCCCCCCCCCCCCATAATAAAAAAATGGAACAGACACATCTGAGAGAGATTCTCAAAGAATAGAGAATACCAAACAACTCACTGTTTTTGACATCTCCCGGAGAGATGGGCGACGCACGAACCGGAGGCACAGCGCGCGCATCCCGCGAAGCAAAACTCGCTGGGCGCGGTTTTCTTATTTCTCGGCGTTTTTCGGAGGGACAAATGGCGAATACTTACGCGGCGTACTCGCTCGACGAGGAGAGCGAGGAGCGGCTCCGGCAGGACCTCGAGCAAATGCTCGAGAGGTGCACCGCGATGGAGCACGCCCTCGCCGAGAACCAGGAGCGACTGCTGCGCGTCGCGCGGGACCGGGAGCGGGATCTCGCCGACCTGTCCCGCAACGTGGCGTGCAACGTGGCCGAAGCGGCCGCGGCGATCTCGGAGGCCCAAGGGTCGCCTCTTCCCCTGCTGAGCGCGAATGGGACGATCGCGGCGGCAAACCCGGCGGATCTGCCGGTCGCGGTGTGCTCCGCGCTCCGCGCGTGCAAGGAGTCCATCGTCCGCATGCCGCTCAAGGGCCTTGGTCCGCGGCTCGCCGCGACCCTGTCCAGCGCGGGCTTCGCACTGGGATGGCTCGTCGTGGGCTACACTCTCGCATGAAGCCTGCGGCAGAGCAAGGGGGGTGCGGCCGTGCGCCATCCGCCACAAAAAAGGAGTTCTACCCCCGAGGCGCAGTCAATTGCGATCAAAAACGAGGCCATGGATCAGCGCTCATGTGCGCAGTGGCCACCATCTGCTGGAGAGACACGACGGTATGCGAGAGGTAACCTGCAACCATCCGCGCGCGGACTGGGACTGGGGCTGCCTCACCGGCGAATGCATGTTGGCGGGCCGAGCTGTGGTGCGCGTGGGCAACGAGGCCACGGGCGCACGCAGCACACACGGGCCGCATGTGTTTGTGCAAAAGGCAGCAACGGGCGTGACCCACTTTGAGCGCAGCGCCAGGAGATGTCAGGCCCGGCTCAGCCTCAGGGGCGAGGCGGCTGTTGCGCGGCACAAGAGCGCGGAGCACGCATTTCGGAGAGAGGTGGTGTGCTACCCCTGCTCTAGCGAAAATCTTTCACAATATCGCAACCGCGATACCGCGCGATATTTGGCGATAAAATGCGATAAATGGCGATGTTGTGCGATGCTCGCGATCATGCGAGCCCTTCACAGCCCACGGCCACGCCTCAGCGACGATGCGACGCGCGTGAAGCGTTACAAAGGGGGACGGGCGCCGTCGCCGCTTCGTCCCTGGCGCTTCGCTCGCTCCGCTCGCGTTGCGCAGCTGGGTCTGGCTGGCTACACACCTCGGTAGGAGCGCGGTGCGAAAGCGCACCGAAAACAAAGTAAGAAATGCGCCGCGAAGCGCGGTCCGCCGCCGACCGCGCTGGGCCCGGGGCGAGGGCCTGCCGGCGTGCCGGGAGGCGGAGGGTGCGCGATATTGCGCGATAATTGCGCGATATTACGCGCGACTGCGCGATATTGCGCGATATTAGGCAATATTAGGCGATATTCGGCGATCATTCACGATATACAGAAGATTTCCGCTAGAGCAGGGGGGTTGTGCTGTGCTGCTGCGGATGGCCACGCTCGCGGCTCGGCTCTCCAGACGTCGCTCCACACTCTCCAGCCTCTTCGGCCCCGACAGAGCAGACACGTGTGCACACACTTTGTGAAAACTCGCGAATCTCGACACATCGCACCGTGTCACATCCAACGCAAACGCCACATCGGAGGAGCACACGCAGGTCGCAGCACCGATGACAGCTGAGACGTGAGAGTTTAAAAAAGCTCGAGCGAATCTCGCTCTCTCGGGCACGCCGAGGGTCAGGAGGCCTTGGTCTTGCCCTCTCCTCCGTCGTCCTCGAGCGCCCTCCCTTTGGTCTCCGGCACCGCGACGGCCGTGACGAGCCAGCCGGCCGCACACACGGCGGCGAACGCGAAAAAGACGCCGCCGCTGCCGAGCGAGGCGCGCAGTGCGGGGAAGCCGGCGCCGACGGCGGTGTTGCACACGAACTGGGCGGCGAGCGAGACGGACATGGCGGCGGCGCGCGCGCGCATCGGGAAGAGCTCCGACGTGAGGATGTTTGGGATGGGGCCTGCTCGCAGCGGCGGAGAGTGTGGGGGGGGCAGGACGCCTCCTCCCGGGCTGCGGCGGAGGGCGGGGCAAGGCGGGTCCCGCGCCGAGCGAGAGGGAGAAGGCGACGCCGTAGCCGCAGAGCGCGACCACCGCCGCCGCCGCGGGCAGGGCGGACGAGGCGGAGGCCATGTGCAGCAGCGAGGCGGCGAGGGCGAGGTGGGAGAGGGCCATGAGCGGGATGAAGCGGAGGAGGAGCGAGCGGCGTCCGAGCCGGTCCATCAGCGAGATGGTGGCAAGCCTAACGGAAGTATCTAGGAAGTGTCTGCGAAGGCGTCTAGGAAGTCTCCCATCAGCGAGATGGCGGCGAGCATGGCGGGGAGGCGCGGCGCGTACGCGAGCGCGGTGGCGGCGAGCGAGGCCGCGTTCTCATCGAGCCCGACCGAGGCGAAGAGTCGTGGCACGCCTGCCTCCTTGAGCACCTGCGAGGAGGAGGGGGGGGGGGGGGGGGGAGGGGAAGAGGGGGAAGAGGGGGAAGGGGGGTGTAACACAACCTTGACCTTAGTTGGGGGGGGCGGCTCCCCTCGGCCCTTTTTTTGGGGCCCCTCCCCGCCACCCCCTTTTGGGGGCGCACCGTCGGGGTGTAGTACACCACCGCGTTGATCCCTACGCACACACCGCCGCAGACCCGTAAAGCCGCGTCACCTCTCCCTCTGCCCCCGAGAGCCGGCCGGCGCTGCTGCCAGACAGCTGCTGCAACGCCTGCAGCGCAACCCAGGGACACTTCCCGGACACTTCCTAGACACTTCCCATACAGCTGCTGCAACGCCTGCAACGCAACAACCACACAGAGCAGCCGCAGCAGCCGCGGCTCGAGCAGCGCCCCGAAGCCGCCCCCCTCCCCCCCCTTCGCCTTCTCCGCCGCCCCCACCGGCCCCATCGCCCTCAGCTCCTCCTCGGCCGCCGCCAGCGCCGCCGCCGTGTCCGCACCGCGCAGGCGCGAGAGGGCGCGGAGAGCGTCGGCAGGCCTGCGGCGCTGCAGCAGCCAGCGGGGCGACTCGGGCAGCACCCATAGCACCATCGCCGCGTGCACCGCCGCCGGAACGAGAGAGGCCGCCATCATCGGCCTCCTGCGTTGGGGTGGCCGAGGGGCGGCCTCGGAGCAGGGAGGGAGGTGGAAGTGGTGGCGAGGGCAAACCCTCGCCAGCCGGCGGCGGGGAAGACGGCGGCGATGAGGAGCGAGACGAGGTACGCCGAGAAGATGCCGAGCGAGACGAACGTCTGCGGGATCGCCGCCAGCGCGCCGCGCCGCGACGCCTGCGCCGTCTCGGCGATGTAGACTGGCACGACGGCGCCCGCCATGCCGACGGCGACGCCGACGAGGCCGCGCGCGGCGACGAGGCCGCCGGCGGTGCGCGAGACGCAGAGGAGGGCCGAGCCGGCGAGCGACGCCCACGACGCGATCGCGAGCGTGCTGCGCCGGCCGATACCGTCAGAGAGCCGCGCCGCCGCCGCGGTGCCGACGACAGAGCCGACGGTGGTTGCAGTCACGATGGCACCGGTCAGCTTCGGATCGGTTGCGAGGCCGAACTCGGGCGCGAGGTAGAGCAGAGCACCGCCGATGACGCCCGTGTGGTAACCCTGCAGCAGCGAGGCCAGCGCTGCGCCCACCGCGGCGAGCGTGGTGCGGTCGCGGCCGCCGTCAGCGCCGAGTGTGGCGGAGGTGGCGATCGGAGCGGAGCTGCGGGGCTTGGCCATGAGTGCGGTGCTTGCGCGCAGAGCTGGGCGATCCAGGGCGGAGGCAGAGGTGGCTAAGACGATGAAGATGACCCTTCTGCCGCCATTCATTGATCGCTGGGCCGCCAAAAAGAATTTTATCAGTCTTGGCCGTTTTCTTTCTTTTTTTACACCGGGTACGGGACTGGCACTACAAAGGACACAGCAGACGGCCCCCTCAGGGGCCATCGTCATCGAACAAGTCGATCTCTGCACGATTTAGCCCTCCCGAGCCGTAATCCTCCCCAAAGGGAGCGAGCTCCGCGCGCTCCTCGCGCTCCTCCTTGGCGCGCCCCTTCGCCGCCCGCCGGCGGCGGTTGTTCGCGTCCGCCTCTCCCACGCCTTCCTCCGCCTTGAGGAATTCGAGCCTCCATGGCTCCTGCTTAAGCAGGAGCGCCTCGACAGCCGCAAGAGCGGCGTCGCAAGCCGCCTCCCGAGAGAGGCCGTCCGCCGGTGTCGTGCAAAAAGAATTCTCGCGTCGAAGATCGCCGAGAGTGCGCGAGATCGACCGAGAGTGCGCGGCGCGGCCCGAGGCGAGGTGGATGGGTTGGGAGCGAGGGGGCGGAAGTGTTCAGTGGTAGATGGTGAGCTCGGGACGCAAGAGGTGGCCTGTGAGCCATCCGGCTTACATTTACCCTGCGTTCTCGCACATGGAGTGCGAGGTTCTCGAATGACCGAGCACACGTCGCGCGCGGGAGGGCGGGAGGAGTCGGTTCACCCCCGGGGGGGGGGGACGGACACGGTTCACGATTCTGGGGTGAACTGAGAGGCCTGGAAGCGCGACGCACCGCAAAAGTTTCTATGATGCAAATGTCCGCCGTGCGTTTGTTCATTACATCGAAGGCAAGCTCAAAAAAAGAATTCTGAGTTCCCAGCGCACAATCGCGTGCGGACGCGAGGCAGAGGCGAGCTCTCCGCACCGTTAACGATGCCGAAGGAGGAGGAGGATGACGACGTGTCGTCGGTCGACATCGACGGGTCCGAGGACGAGGAGACCAAGGAGGAGGACGAGGAGGCCATGAATGACCTCAGCAACGCCGACATCGTGACCAAGTACCGGTGTGCCGGCGACATCGCGAACAGCGTGCTGACAGCCATCATCGAGGCGATCAAGCCGGGGGTGAAGGCGGTGGAACTGTGCAAGCGGGGCGACGATCTGGTGGAGGAGGCCACCTCCAAGGTGTACAACGTGAAGAAGGGCGGCAAGAAGGTTGAGAAGGGCTCTGCGTTCCCCACGTGCATTTCCGTCAACCACTGCTGCGGCCACTACTCGCCGCTCACCTCGGAGGACGACGTGACGCTGGTCGAGGGCGACGTGGTCAAGATCGACCTGGGTGTGCATGTCGACGGCTACATCGGCGTCGTCGCCCACACGCACGTCTGCACCGCCGACGCCGCAGCGCCGCCCGTGACGGGCAAAAAGGCAGACGCGATGATGGCGGCGTGGACGGCGTCGGAGCTGGCGCACAGGATGTTCAAGGAGGGGTGCAAGAACACCGAGGTGACCGACATGATCGCCAAGGCGCGCGCCGCCTCCCCCCCCCCGCGCCCCGCCCCCCTCCCCCCCCTCCCCGCGCCGCCCTCTCGCAGCCTCGCGATAGCGCGTGCGCGGCCGCGCCTCGCAGGTGGCGGAGGCGTACGGCTGCACGCCGCTGGAGGGGGTCCTGTCGCACCAGATGAAGAAGCACGTCATCGACGCAAATAAGATGATCGTCAACAAGGTGAACGAGGAGAACAAGCCCAAGGAGGTGACGATTGAGAAGGGAGACGTCTTTTCAATGGACATCGCAATGTCCACCGGGGAGGGCAAGCCAAAGGTGGGGGAGAAGAGGTGCACCGTCTTCAAGCGCGACCTCGAGGAGAAGTACTCGCTCAAGATGAAGGCCTCGCGGGCCTTCTTCTCCGAGGCCCGCCGCCCCACCCTCCCCGGCCCGCTCCTGGCCCGCCGCCGCTGGCCGCCGCGGCCCACTGAGCGGCGCGGCGCGCCCCTGCCAGGTGAACGCGCGCTTCCCGACGCTGCCCTTCACGCTGCGCGCGGGCGACGAGCGGGCGTGGCGGATGGGCGTGGTCGAGTGCGTCAAGCACAACCTCTTCGTCGAGTACCCCGTGCTGTACGAGAAGGACAACGAGTTTGTCGCGCAGGTCAAGTTCACCGTCGCGCTGCTGCCGTCGGGCAACGTGGCGCGCACGACGAGCTCGCCGCCGCCGGTGGCGAACTCGGAGAAGTCGCTGACCGACGAGGCGCTGGTGGCGCTGCTCGCGACGGAGGTGGCGAAGAAGAAGAAGAAGAACAACAAGAAGAAGAAGGCCGGCGGAGGGGAGGGCGGAGACTGAGCCGCCGCGCCGGCCGCATGCACCCTCGGGGGGAAAGGGGGAGGGGGGCGGACCCAGCCTGGCGGCGTCGGCGCGCGAGCGGCGGAGTGGGACGGGCAGCACTCACCCCCATCCCTCGGGTTGGGTGTGCAGTCGCCCCCCTCCGACCTCGCCTCCGCTGCAGCCCAGCCGCGATCGCCAACCTCCCCCTGCGCACCCCGCACCCATCCTGTGTTGAGCATTACGTACGTGGGCTGGATCGAAGCGGCCCAGGTTCAGCACTTTAAAATGGATGGTAAGGCCGCGAGAGACTGCGGCGCGCTGCCCGCGGCCGCGCCGCTCGGATTTTTTTAAGACCTTTTAAGAAACGAGGAGGTTTGGGGGCTTAACTTGCCATTTAAGAGATTGCAGGCACGGGGGATCCCTCTTTTAAGACCGTTTAAGAAAATCGGCCTCGCCGGCATGCGTCGCTGGGTTCCGCGCCGTTTTCTCCAATACTGCCGTTATCAGGCACAAACCCGCCTCTGAAGACACATCTGTAAGTCTGGTGCACTGGCAGGAGCCATACTCGCATAGGGGGCGCGTGCTAGCTGACTGTAGCCAGCTTCCCGGCCTCCGGCGGGTCTACCGGGAGCCTCCCGGACCATCGACCTCGGGAGCTCTCCCGCACCGTCTAAGCGTTTAAGACCGTTTAAGGAATCGGCGGCCCAGGCAGCCTTAAAATGGGCCATGGCCCGTTTTAAGCCGTTTAAGCCGCAGGCGCCCCAGGGCCCACCCTTTTAAGCCTAGGGGGCCCCTAAGGGCGGTGCTCTCTGTCTCTCGCCTCTGACCCGCCAGGAGACCGCGCCGGGCCGGCGATGAACCACGCGGCGTGCCCAGCCGAGAGAGGAGGGGTGAGAGAGAAAATACGGTTATCACACGCCGTCGACGGCATCGGGATGGCGGATGGCGCCATGGGCAGTTGGGCACAGCACGAGTCGCTGTGACATTAACTCAGCATCACATTTCGTCTTTGCTGGGTTGTTCAGCGCCTATCCCGGAATCTTCCAGACGCCGCGCGATTGCCAGCAGAAATGCTTGCCTCAGCGGCGCCATCGCCGTACCTGTGATGCAGTCAAGTGATGCTAGTGGAGTCGCTCTCCCATTTGTCGACCGTGCATTGCTCTACTACTCTGGCGCTCACTGACGAAGATCAGCACTGCAGCCGTCAGCAGAAACCGCACGGGGAAGCTGGTGGATTGCTGCTTTGCCGCCGCAGGCTCCTCTGCAGCAGCAGCAGGTGGAGCACTAACCTCCGCCGTCTCCTTCGGCTCTGCCATGTGTGTCGCGAAAGTGGGAAATTGGTCTCGTTTTCGGAAAGAATTTAAACAAAACAACTCTGTCTCACAGCAGACAGGCTTTTCGGAAAGAATTTTACCAAGGTGCAGGTGCCGTCAAACCCATCCCCATTTCCCATTTCCCTCCCTTGGGTTCCCTGTTTTGTTTATTTTTAGGCACGGGACTGGCGCGCACTGGCACTATAACACAGGCAGGTACACCCCAGAAAAGAATTTTAACAGAAAAGAAAAATGCGCCCACAACGGGAAAAGAAACAGAGGCAACGACGGGATGGGCCAACAGCCAGTGGGACGAACGAGGGCCGCGACGGCGGCTCAAGCGGGAAGTAGCGGAGAGACTGCAGAGTGCAGTGGGCACCGCACACCGGAACGAAGTGTGGGTGAGACTGATGATGGGACAATGATGCCATGATGCTCCTTCGACTTAGGGGATCGTGCGGAACGCCGCGCAGCAATGGACCGAGGAAGATGAGAACCCGCCTAAGAGAGACCAGACACCCTACGCAGAAACCCCCATCCCATCCGCGCGCCCATAACGTCCTCACCCCCTCGCGCGCAGAGCGCCGATTCCGGCGCTCTCGCCGCTAACCCGCCGTCGCCGCCGTTTGAACCAAGCCATGTACCTCAGCGACGGAAGCAAGGTTATGCCGCCTGGTGTGGGAGACACATAACCCAGCCCACAGAAGCGGCATTTGTCTGCCGCCGACAGGTCATTGCACCCAAGAATGATGAATGTCACCCTCGAAGATCGGTGCGGATTCAGCCTCACCGGCGACTCGCCTCAGGCGTGCTATACCTTCTTCTACTTTAGCCAACCCTACCCCCCTCCCCCATCGCTCCCTCACCCATCGTCGCCGCCTGCGCTGCCCGCCCTCGTTGCCGCCCGTAGAAAAAAAAGGCAAAAGCGCGGCGAGGTGCTCATGGGGCCAATGCAGCGCTCTCTCACCCAGTGCACGGACTTGTACTCATATCGCGGACAATGATGAGCTTGCTGCTGGTCGCTGCGCACGCTGCGCACGCTGCGCCGCCCGTCGGCTTCGAGGCAGCATGGCGAAGGGCTGCGGTAACGTTTGCTCAGCACATCCAGCCCGACATGAGCGAGGCCAACAAGAAGGAATTACAGGAAGGCCTCGCTACCACTGATCCAAAACCGCCGCTTGCGCGCTGGGCTGGCCCTTCAACGCATCCCTCGGTTGGGCGTGCGTCCAGCGTCTACTATGTCGCGCCAGCACCGATGAGCTGTAGTGACTCGAGCGCAGGCTCAGAGGCCGCGCCATTCTGCTCAATTCTGAAGGGTGTCCAGGCGTGCAGGGCTGCCTCTGACTTGTGTGCCGTCTTCCTGCGCGGAGGCGTGCATCGCCTGAAGGAGCCTATCCTACTTGGTCCGAGCGATTCCAACCTCACCATCGCCGGCTATCCCGGCGAAGACGCTGTCGTCTCAGGCACGACTCCACTGGCCGTCTCTGCGTGGCAGAAGGTGTCGGATGTCGCGGCCACCACAATCTGGAAGGTGCCAGTAACTACGCGCCCTGCGGCGATAGAGACTCTGCTCGTTGACGGCGTGCGCGCGATCCCGGCCCGTTACCCGAACGCCAACCCAGAGCTCGATCGCTTCCCCATCGGCTACATCCAGTCATCGACGAAGTGGAGTGCTCCAGCCGAGCTGGGTATGCCGAGCTTCATCGAGTACAATGACACCGCCACCTTCCGCCCGTCGTACCGCTCGCTCTTCAAGGACTACCGCGGAGGCGTCGGCGGGCAGTGCTCAGTATACGACCCTCCGTTCTCGTACTGGTGCGCCCAGAGGCCCGAAGGTGGCGGTGCCTCCGAGTTCCAGCTGCCGTCCGGTCTCTCTTTCACCCCATCTCAGCTGCCGTCCGCACCTTACAAGAACGTCTCCGGCGGCCGTATCACGGCGTGGCGGCCGGGGCACTGGGCCAACTGGCAGTTCGAGCTCAATGGAAGCAAGGCAAAGAAAGCTGGCACCGAGCTCACCTTCGGAAAGGGCGGCTTCCAGGGGGGTCGCGGGAACAACGCGCGCGGCGCCGAGTGGTTCATCTCTCACCTGCACGAGGAGCTCGACTTTCCGAGCGAGTACTGGTACGACGCGGACAATGCCATGCTCTACTTCGTATCGGGCACCGGTACGCTCGATTGCAAAGGCGATCCCAACTGCAACGCCACGCGAACACAGGTGCCTCCCGTGGGTGGTTCCAAGCCGCCCGCCTTCGAGGTTGCCCATCTCAAGACGCTCTTCCGGCTACAGGGCACGCAGGCCGCGCCAGTGACACACGTCACCCTCTCGGCGCTCACGTTCACCGGTGCGGCGATGACGTTCCTCGACCCACATGGTGTACCATCGGGAGGCGATTGGGCACTGCAGCGGTCAGCGGCGCTCTTCCTGGAAGGGACGGTGAACACGACCGTTGAAGCTTGCAACCTCGTCCGGCTTGACGGCAACGCGATCATGCTGAGCGGATTCAACGGATATGCTAACATTTCGCACAACACCATCCTCAGCACTGGTGCGACTGCCATCGCGCTGTGGGGCTACACGAACGGGACACACCCACTCCAGCCAGTTGGCACCGGCCCCGATGGAACCGAAGGTAACTTCCCACGCTACACGACCGTGCACGGCAACTTCATTCGGCACCTCGGGATCCACGAGAAGCAGAGCTCGTGCCTCTTTCAGGCCAAGTCGGCGCAGACATTCGTGTCGAACAACATCTGCTTCGACGTGCCGCGCGCCGGCTTCAACCTGAACGACGGCTTCGGAGGCGGCAATAACATCTCCTTTAACTTGCTCTTCCAGACATGCGGCGAGTCGGGCGACCATGGCGCCCTCAACACGTGGGACCGCCAGTCATTCATCACGACTGTGCGCGATGGCACGCCTTCAATTGTGCCCGCCATGACTGCCATCCATCACAACTTCATCGTCGCCGACTACGATGCTGACGGTGGCATGGTCGACAACGACGACGGCAGCTCCTTCTATGATGAGTACGCCAACTTCGGAGTCTACGGCGGTGCGAAGATGGCCAACTTCGACGGGCACGGCAAGATCTCGCACGGCAACGTCTTCGCGTTTCCCAATGTGTACGGCAAGTCGTGCTTCTGGAATTGGCCCGGTTGGTTCCCAACCGAGGGTCACTGGGAGCGCTTCTTCAACAACACCTGCATTATGGACGGGCCCGGCCAGAATTACATTTCGATGCCCAATTCGTGCACATTCGGTAACTCCTCGACTGTGCACGTCATTGCGCAGGATAATAAGGTCTTTGCTCCCAACGCCGATGCCGTCGTGAGCGGTTGCGGCTCGCAGTTGCCGTTTGCCGAATGGATGAAGCTTGGTGTCGATCAAGGCTCCACGCTTGCAGCTCTCCCGTCAAACGCCGAGGTGATTGCAATGGGTGCAGCCGTGCTCGGGGTGCCACTAACGTCTTCTGCTGTTGCGTGAATGCATTGCACGCGTAGTCCTATTCGTTGTCGAAACCAGTGTAGAAATGCCAAAATGCGTAACAAAGCGGTCACCGTATTGCGCCTGCGGTGCTGGCGGACAAACGCGCATGCAATCGCGCTACTGTATACTAGTACTGTATATATAGCCGTGCCGTACGATCCGGGTAGACTGACCGACGTAAAACCGATGGTTCGCTTCGCCGCCGAGCCCTCAGCGGCGGGCCGACCACCTGCCGGCTGGACCACTTAACTCTGTACACGATTATCACAGAAAACTGCGGCCGCCAGCGACTGAGCGTCTCGCTGGCGGACGGGGGGACAGGAACACAAAGGGACGTCCGGACGTCCATCCACTGGGATGAGAGTACTGGTAACTGGAGACCTGAGGTCGAATCTACCGATTCCACAGCCGCCCACAGGAGCGCCGCCTCAACACGGGGTCTCGGCTCTATCGAGCCATGCTAGCTCCAGCCGCAGCCCCACCCGGCCGCCCGGGAGGGTGTTCCCGCAGGCAGAGAAGACCAATCCTGGTGGAAGTAACCCAGCTGTACAAGCACTACAACGTAAACTATACTCTATACTAGTACTCTACGCTTGTACAGAGTACGTCTCACACTCACTTAGTCTCACTTACGTCTCGCTCTCGCTCTGACGGCGGACGCGCTCTCGAGCGCTCTCGAGACATGACTCATGGGACGCATGACGTCATCTCATGAGACGAGATACCAGTAGAGTGGAAAAGTCAAACAAACGGAAACGCTCGCGGCGTGCGTGAGCGAGCGACAGACGGCGAGACTACGGCGAGACGCCAGACGCGTCACGCGCGCCCTGCGTGACTGAGACTGTGTGTGTCCCTTGAACTTGAAACTTATTATCGCTGGCAGTGTGCAGCCCAGGCCAGTAGTATCCGCCGAAGGCGAAGCCTCCACCCCCTCACCGACGTGGCTACGTGTACGCTGGGCGCGGAGTCCGCGTCTCGGACGCATGGGCATGGCGTCGGTCGGAGGCGTGTGGCCCTGGATGGCCCTGGCTGGGCCCACCTGGCGTGTGTGTGCGCCGTCGTGTGGGGAGCGGGTTTTGCACAATGTCTCGTGAAACCTCTGAGTACTTTGATGTACTTTCAGCCTTGTACATTGCCATGGAGTATCATCGCTGGCTAACAATGGCTACAATGTCGGAAGCGCGCACATCGTAGGATCCCAACATCTGATGCCATGCCGCCTGAAGCAACGTGGACGCTCAAGATCCAAGGTGCGTCACACATACGGACCCCGAGTCTCCGCAAAGGGTCCACCGCGGATGGATGGAGCGTGAAGTTTCCTTCGTTGAAGAGGAAACGCTCACAGCGAGATGCTGGACCCCGCCATGGCCTCGTCGATGTGGCCGGTGCGCCCCTGCTTGCAGTAGAAGCAGACCTACTCCGCCGGGTTCTTCTTCTCCGTACAGCCCGGCGCAGTGCAGATGTCGGCCACCGGCTCGGTGGGAGACTCGTTCGGTCGGTGCCGGCGAGGAGGACGAACGAGGCCGGGGCATCAGACGAGGCGGAAGCCTGCGTCGCGCCCTTGGCCTTGCACTGGCACGCGACAACCTCCCACCCGCAGAGCGAGCAGCGCGCCACCGAGTCGTCGTGGTCGGCAAAGTGCCAGGGGAGACAAATCCGAGACGGTGACGGGATGCTGTCGTGTGGTGGTCTCAGGCCCAGTGAGGTAGTGCATATGACTATCCCGGATCCTGCTGAACAAGCTCCTCTTGTAGCTCGATCGGTCACACCGCCATCGCCGTCGGGGAGAGAGAGGGGGGACGACACTGCTTTGGCAGCGTGCACCTCGATCCTGCACCGTGTTTGTTCTGAGAGAGATTTTTAGCAATACCAAACAACTCTAACACTCACACGTTTGTTTGTTTTGTTTGTTAGGACCCCACCCAATGAACACACCAGTGAGGGAGGGCGAGACGATCGAGGGGTCCCGTACCATGCGGAATCGACCCTATCAAGTGCTCAAGTGCTCAAGGTCGGCGGACATGCGTTCTCAGATTACTCGAGTACAGACTACTCGAGTAGATTACGTCGTCCCCTGCGGTGGCGCCCGAAGGAGCTTCAGCTTCCCGCGCCTGAGGGCTATAGGAGTCGTCGACGCGACCCTGTGCCTCAGACTGTGTCTGGTGGCGAGCCCCCCGCCGCTCTCGCCATCTTGTGTGTGGTGTGCGAGGCACAAGAGATGATCTCTGATCAAGGGAGCGTGCGGGAGTTAATGATACTCTCCACGCCCATAGCGCTCAAAAACATCCTTGAGCACCTCAACGCCTGGGTGAATTTGATATGCATTGGACATGCGGGGAGTGCTACCGTTCTTGGCGCGGCAGCCTTTGCATCATCAGTAAACCAACTCGTCGGCGTCAGCGTTGCCGTTGCCTTGGGGCGGGCTGTGTCGACTGCTTCCTCGCAGGCTGCTGGCAAGTCTGACCACGAGGCACTTGGTTTGGTTCTCGAGCGTGCGCTTCCTCTTGCCTGCGCGATGGCCCTGCCGATCATGGCGCTGCTCTGTATCCTGCCATTGTTTGTGCGCCTGCTTGGCATGGGTGAGCAGTTTGCGACATTGGCGGGCGAATATGCTATTGCCATTCTGCCGGTCACCGCCGCACGAGGCGTTTGCGAGGTGCTACAAGCCTGGCTCGCATGCCAAAAGATTACCAAGCCGCCGCTCTACATCAACCTCGCCCTGACGCCATTCCATGCAGCAGTCTGCTACTCTCTCGTGTTCAATACCCGCCTCGGCTTCCTCGGCGCGGGATGCGCAAACTCAGCTATGTGGATCGCACGCGCTGCCACCTTGTACATGCACTGCATCAGCCCGCACGCTGACCTCGACCGCCCGTTCGGCGGCCTCACTCGGCGCGGCCTGAGAGACGGCCGAGGGGAGCTCTTGCGGCTCGTCTTGCCGGGCGTGCTCATGAGTGACTACTGGACGGGAGAGGCCATCATGGTATGCACCGGCCTGGTGCCAAATCCGGCCGTCGCCGTCTCCGCCCTCTCGGTATATACGTGCGCCACTATCCCTTCCCCTGCACGATGTAGACTACAGCAACCTCACACACATCCCCGCCTTGTATCCTCAGCTCGACGTTGAAGATGATTTACGACGTGCCGAACGGGGTTCGAAGTGGGGTCACTGTTTGTGTCGGAAGAGCTCTGGGGGCTGGGCTTCCCAGCCTCGCCTCTCTTGCGATACGAAATGGCCGCCTTCTGCTCGGGTGCTGGCTGCCATTGCCCCTCTTCGCGGTCTGCGCCTTTACTAGCGGCTGGGCTCGGATCTTCACGCGAGACGAGGCTGTTATTTTGCAGCTCCACGCACTGGTGCCGTGGCTAGTCGTCAACTCCTGTGCTGGGGGTCTAATGGCAATAGCCAACGCCGTGATGGCTGGCTGTGCCAGGCCAAAATCGCCCTTCCTCCACCCCGGGCCAACACGCACGAAAGTTGCGCCATCGGAAACCCCTTGCCCCACAGGCAAAAGACTGCCGCCAAGCTGGCGCAGCTCTGCTTCACTTGCATTGGCTTCCCTCTGGGGCTGCTCCTCGGCTTCAGCTTTGGGCTAGGCGTGCAGGGATTTGTGGCAGGGCAAGCTGCAGGTCTGGCGGGGCTTGCACACACACAGGGGCGAGGGGGGGTCGTTGCAAGAGCGAACAATGATTCTCTCCCGCTTCCTCTGCGCAGGACGGGTATTATACACCGCTGCGGTCATGTCCATCCTTGCCCGGACAGATTGGTCCACTCAGTGCACTCTTGCATCAGAGCGTGTGACTCGGCTAAAGCAATGAGCCTCTCTGAAGAGTTTTATACTCTTTTCCAAAGCTGAAATAAAGAAGCGGCGCGGCCCGGGGCGGGGTGGATGGGTTGGGAGCGAGGGGGCGGAAGTGCTCAGTGCGGTAGATGGTCAGCTCGAGGCGCGTGAGCCGGACTTGTGAGCCGGACCACCCCCTCTTGTTATCTGCGTTGTTGAGCCAGGACTCAACATACTCGGGCTGTCGCCGTCCCAAACTGTCACTCCCCTTTCTCCCGGCCGGGGTGGGGCGCGCGCGGGGGCGGCGGGTGTGCGGCGAGTGTGCGGGATGTCTGTGGGCCCGAGAGCGATATGCCATGTCCGCCTTGCGTAGTTTCATAACACCGAAGGCTAAGCTCAATAAAGAAAGACGTGGCGATCCATAAACGCACGACCGGGGCACGCTCTCAACGCTGGTCATGGTGGAGAAGAGAAAGCGGAAGAGCGGCAAGGCGGAGCAGGCCGCCGTCGCGCACGGCGCTGGCTGCCTTGTGGCGAGCACGCGAGGGATCCGCGCACGCCACCGCCACCTGATGCGCGACCTCACTCGGCTGCTGCCGCACGGCCTGCCGCACTCGAAAGTGGACACGGACGAGGCGGGGCTCGGCGGGATGGCGGCGCTCTGCGAGGAGAACGACTGCTCGACCTCGCTGCTGCTCGACGCGCGCGACCCGCGCCGCCTCTACATGTGGGTCGGCGGCTGCCCTGACGGGCCGACGGCGATGTTCCGCGTGATGAACATTCACACCGTCGCGGAGCTCAAGCTGGAGGCGCGGCGCGTGCTCGGCGCGCGCAACGTGGTCGTCTTCGACTCCTCCTTTGGCCAGACTGCCGACCGGCGCGTCATGCGCGCGCTGCTCTCTCGAGCCTTTGCGGTGCCGCGCCGGCACCGAGGCGACGGCGGCGGGAGCGGCGACGGCGGCGGCGGGAGCGGCGACGCTGCCGGGTCCGCCGGCGCGAGCGGCGCCAAGCACGCGGCAGCCAGGCACAGCGTCTCCTTCTCCTGGCTGGACGGGCGCGTGTGGATGCGCGTCTACCGCATCCAGGAGGCCGTCGGAGGCGGCGGCGTGCTCGACGTCGCGGAGATAGGGCCGCGGCTGGTGCTCGCGCCGGTGCGCATAATCGCGTCCGGCTTTGGCGGCGCCGTGCTGCACGCAGCCAACTAGCGCGTCGGAGGACCGCCGAGACGCGGGAGCACGGTTGGATGTCGGTGCAGCCTGGGTCGCGTCGCGTCATCTTCCTGTAGTACCGCCGATCTTTCTCTTTTTGCTGACGCGGGTCTTCTCGTCCACCTGGGGACCTTTCAGTGCCAGACTTGTCTGTGTGAGCGCAGGCATTAGCCTCACACGTGGGATGGTGTTCACGACAAAGGGTTGTGCGGAAAGTCTCAAATATTAATACGAGTAAAATACTCACGGTGTAGTGTGGAGGCAGTGCCAGTGGGGAGCTCTGGGGGGAGGCGGGGCCCCTAGGGGTACCCATGCGGGGGGGAGATGGGGTCCCATGGCCCGCCGCAGGCGCCGATTTTTTACAGTTTTTTTTGTTTTTTGCGCGCTTTTCTACTTGTTTAAAGATTCTACTTGTTTTCACGAGAATTTCGCGTATATATTGCGACCATGCTATCACGCCTTGCGACAGCCTGTCGGCGCTGCTGACCGTGGCCTTCTGCACAATTGACCACCTGCATAGCTCGCGGCCTTGAAATCCACCATTCAGTGAAGACCTGATCGTACGGCCAGTAGGAAGGTGTCCTTCCAGCGCGTGCACGCTTCTGACGCAATGCGCGTCACAAACTGCCTCGGATTGGCTGCTGGCACTCTCGAGGCTATGCCTACACAGCCTCGCGCGCATGGGCAGTCAAGAGGGACCATGCACCTTCTCACGACAGCGCCGGTGCCTCTCTCTGGGACCCTCCGGCAAACGTGGTGGTCTCGTGTCACCAATGTGGGACCAGTGCGGCATCGCGCCATCGACAGCTCTGAACTGCGCCTCACCACTGACCGGGAAGGCCGCCAAGTGGGCCAGCACCGGTCGCATATTGTGGCAGCAGTCAGTAGTGCATGTCTGATAGCTAGAGCAGCAGCGTCAAGGTCGCAGGGTCGGATCGTGTCAAGCCTCTCGCCCGGCCGGCCGCGTGCAGACGTCGGGCCTGTCTGCTGTCTGGAGTGATCTGTCGGCGGTCAGTACGACCGATCAGGTCGGAGTTTTCTGATGGTTGGAGGGTCTATCTGTATGTACTCCTCGAGATCTCTCCAAATCTGCCCTCTAACCAACCGTAACCATTCGGGAAGTCGGTGCTAGTAGAGACTAGTAGAGTTGGGGCAAATGTAGATTTCCTGCCCAGCGTAAGGATATTTCTTTCATTTCTTTCGTCTTTATTTCGTGCCCCACCACGGCAAATTTGCGAGAAATTTCTTCGCCCCGTCACTCCATGCTCAAGTTTCGCCCCTTTCCGTGTAAGGTGTCCCCCATGTTGGACCAGGCACCGTGCGGGCCTGCCGTGCCTTGCTTGAGCCGGCAGGCCCGCGCGGCAGTGATGGTGCGCCTCCGCGGAGAGGCTGACGCTGGTCATCGGTCAGCGGTCAGCGGTCATCGGTCACCGGTCAAGCGGGTCATCGGGCGTCAGTGTCATTCAGGCGTCAGTGTCATTCGCGTCAACACAGGTATGGTAAATTTCCGGAAATTTCTCCTTCCGAACAAGGCTGTCATATTTCTCAAAATATTTCGGGAAATCTACATTTGCCCCAATAGTAGAGCCGGGGCCCCGTTTCCGCACTGCTGCGCGGCGCACGGTGCCTCCGGGGGCCCCCGCCTCCCCCCAGAGGTGGGGGCAATACGCGGTGTGCGGAGAGTGCGGCGCGGGCGGCTGGAAGAGCGGCAGCGAGACGCGTCTGTGCGGCCGCGGCGACGAGCTCTGGGTCGTGTGACTCGTCCGCGGGACGGGCAAGTAGGCAACGAGATGCTTCTCTGCGACAGCGAGGGCTGCGCAGGCGCCGACCGCCGCACAGCCTCCGAGTGGAGGACGGCGCGTCCACGCGGTGTCTTCACGCGGCTAGCTGTTGTGGACAGGCGCGTACCACCTCAAGTGCCTCGCGCCGCCGCTGGCCGCGGTGCCCGAGGGCAGCTGGTTCTGCCCAAGCTGCGCCAGCGCCGCCGACTGCGGCCAGTGCTCTGCTTGCCTCGACATGCCGAAGTTCGGAGGCGGAGATCACCCGAGATTCCCCGAGATCACCCGAGATTACTCCTCGACATGCCGAAGTTCGGAGGCGGAGCTGGCAAGCGCCGCGCCGCGCTGCCCAGCAGTCTGACCCACGCGGCGAGGAGTAATCTCGGGTAATCTCGGGTAATCTCGGGTAATCTCGAGTGATCACGCGGCGAGGGGGTGGGGTTGGTTCTCAGGTGCAGGGACGCGCAAGGCGCGATGCTTCCGCCCTCGCGCGCCAACCTGCCCTGCCGCGTCGCACCGCGCCGTGCTACGGGAGACGGCAAGGGCGGAGGCAAGGGCGGCGGCGGCAAGGGCGGCGGCGGCGCCGGCGCGGGCAAGAAGCCGCCCAAGGCGGAGCTGCCCAGCCGCCGCCGCGCGACTTGCCGAACGAGCGGACGTGGGCCGCGCCGCCGAGAGTGCGAGCCGTGGCAGGCGAGGTTACCCGAGATTACCCGAGATCACCCGAGAGTACCCGAGAGTGCGAGCCGTGGCAGGCGAGGTTACCCGAGAGTACCCGAGATTACCCAAGAGGCCGGCGGAGCTGCTGCGGCTCGAGGTCTCGCCCCTACGCGAGCCGCCGCCCACCCTCCCCACCGCCTCCGAGCTCAAGGCTGCCGACGAGGCCGAGGCGGCGGCCGCCGCGGCCGCGGCCGCGGCCGCACACACGCTGCGGCCACCGCGGACAGAGCCGGCGGAGGGGGCCGGCGGGCGGGGGGAGGAGGAGGAGGAGGAGGTGCGGCCGCGCCCTATAGGTCAGGGGCTCTCCCTCTGCTGCGAACAGCGGCCTCTTCACGGCCGGGCGTGTGTGGACAGGTCGAGCTCGGCGAGGACGGTCTGCCTCTGCTGCCGCACGGCGTGGCGGTGGGCGGGTTTGTGTCGGCGATGGGGATCGCGCCGGGGGGGAGGGGGTCCGTGAAGGACTTCATCCAGTGACTGCGAATGAATGGGTTGACAGGCGACGGGGCTCGCGCCGGGGGGGATGCGGCGCCGCTTCAAGGCGCACCTGCTGCAGGTGCGAGCCTCAAAGACGCCGCCGCTGCTCCTCGAGTTTAGTTAAGTGTTGAGGCAGTTCATTAACGAATCCACTAGGTGCGAGCGTCAAAGACGACGCCGCTGCTCCTCAAGTACCTCGAGGACTCCGAGGGCCGCACGGGCGCGCTCTTCGTGCCCGCCAACCCGCGCGCGTACGTCGGCTTGCGCGAGGTCGAGGCTTGGAAGGCGCCCGAGCAAGTGAGGCCGCCGCCCATCGCCGCGGCAGAGCCGGCGGCGGTGGACGGCGGGTCGGCCGCCGCGCCTTCCGCCGCCGCCGCCTCCGACGCCGCCGAGGGCGGCGGGGGTTCGACGGGAGGGGAGCGGTCGGCGGGCCCGTCGCGGCTGCGGACGCGCGTGGTGCCTCCCGCTGCGCAGCTCATCGGCTCTGTCGGCGGGCTCGAGGAGCACTGTTGCCCGACATGTCGAGGACACGTCCATGACATGTCCGAGACACGTCCTGCAGGCGGGCTCGAGCTGCACCTCGACCCGCGGCGCACGATGGACGGGTACAGCGGCACCGGCTACCGCGGCGTGTTTGAGGACTACTGGCCGAGCGGGTACAAGCGCGAGAGGCCGTTCACCGTGATGTACGACGGCTCGTACGTCGGCCGCTACGCGACGGTGCTCCGCGCGGCGGTCCAGTTCGCGCGCGGCTCGAGAAGGGGATGCCTCTCCTCGACATGGCTCGCGTGTGATGGCACGCCGTACGGCTTTACCAGGGAGGAGAGCTACGGGCCCCTCCCACTCCTCTGGCTGGCATCGGCCAGGTGGTCCTCGCGTTAACACACACTCTGTCTGAGGCGCACACCTAGATTAGTGCAGTTGTGCTCTCGCGGTCTCTTTTCTGATCTTAATTTTCGATTTTGCGCGGGCTTGAGGGATGAGGCGCCGCCTCGCTCATCACCTCGTGGCCCCCAAACGAGAGCAAAACCCGGAAAACATTTCCCGCTTTCATATGGGACGCGTCGCGAACGACGAACCCACAATCGGTGGTGCAAGCTGCAACTGCAAGACCACGCCGCAGGCTATAAGCGCGACTCTCGCGCGCGAGATCCGTCGCTCACGCGAGTGCAAACGCGCCCCACGCCACAGCGAATGCGTGATACTCCAATAGACTGACAGAGCCGTGGATTCACGCCCTCTCTCTCGTGTCTCTCCTCACAGCGGAAGCAGGAACGGCCCGAGCGGCAGCAGCTCACCATTGCCAGAGGGCGGCACTGACGAGCTTGAGTTTATGGAGGAGGTTGCGCTCGTCCATGATGCTCTGCGCCAGGGACGCCGCGGCCAGGGACACCCACCGCTTACGCACGTCTGCCAGACGGGCTTCAACGCGGGAGTTTCTGCGCTCGCGTTCCTCTGCAGCACACCGAGGAACGTGACCGTACACTCCTTCGACCTCGGCGAGCACGACTACGTCGCGGTCGCCCAGGACATCCTTGAGCACGACTACGGGTACGCCAAGCGACATCGGCTGGTGCTCGGATCATCGCTTGAAACGCTGCCCCTGGCGGTACAGAAAGGCGAGCTGCGCTGCGACTTCGTATTCGTGGACGGCGGGCACGCGTTCAACATCGCCTCGAACGACATTGTGATGTTTGGCCGCATGTCGCACACAGGGGCGCGCCTTGTGGTTGAGAATTGCAATGTGTTTGGTCAAGCCATCGGATGGGGGGGGCAGCCTTCGGTGAACAGGGCCTACAGGAAGGCCTTGGCCTCGGGAAACATCAAGCACATCAAGCAAGTCAGCACAGGTGGCTGCCATGCGCACAAGCTGGCGCACACATGCCGCGAACTGTGTGTGGGAGAGTGGCAGGAGTCCAACTACACGATCTGAGCAACCGTGGGGCCCCACAGAAGAAACCGTGCTGAGAGAACGGCCGACCGTCAGTGCACGGTTTCTTCTCCGACTGCCCCGGCTAGTTCCCGTCCCAGCTGTACTCTAGGAGGGGCCCCCTAAGGGTGAACTCAGCAAGGGTTCGAAATTTTGGTGGTATGGTGGTGCGCATTTTTGAAGGTCCGACACTTGAAGCAAAGGTACCTTATACCTCCCGGACGCCGCGTCGGCCTAACACGGCTCTGCACGGCCGTACCGGCTACCGCGTAGGCGTACACGTACTTTACGGCGCCGTGCTGTCTCACCTTTTGTAACGCGCTGTGCTAAATAATTCAAAAAGGCACAAGCACGCGCGCTCTGTGACATGCATGTGTGTGCGCGCAGACCGCGGCATCGACCCGCAGAGGCCAGAGCAGGACCAGACACAGACACAGAGCCCAGTCCGAGAGTGCCCAAAGCGAAGACCGAAGTCCAGACAGGCCGAGCGAGAGTCCACGACGCACACATGGGAGAGTGAGGGGGAGCCGTAACGCGCGAGAGTACGCGCGGCCACGCGCGGCCACCGCCACGTCGGCCAACTAGTGGGGAGCGAATGCACGCCCCCGCCTGGCCAAAGGGGGGGGGGGGGGGACCTCTTCCCAAGAGCACCACTCTTGGAGCGCCGCCACCACCACCCAGAGCGCTGCAAGCAGTGCCGGGCAATGACGGCTTACCGCCACACAGCCAGCCAGCCTCGGCACACCCCGGGCAGCCAATGTGTGACGGCTCGAACCCGCTAAGTAGGTAAGGTAAGGTAAGGTAAACTTCTCCACACACACGAGGTGGTGGGGCAAGGGAGGGCAACCCTCGCGTCTCCACGTCTAACGACAGGAGCCCCACGGCATTCAAAGTGCAAGGCCCGGTGCGCGTGGGTGAGCGGTGTGTGAGTGTGTGTGTGTGCGTGCGTGTGTGCGTGCGTGTGTGTGTGTGTGTGTGTGTGTGTGTGTGTGTGTGTGTGTGTGTGTGTGTGTGTGTGTGTGTGTGTGTGTGTGTGTGTGTGTGTGTGTGTGTGTGTGTGTGTGTGTGTGTGTGTGTGTGTGTGTGTGTGTCTCACGTCACTGCATCCTCTGCCGGTTCCTCCCGTCGCCTCTTCTTTGTTCGAATGTTTTTCAATCCATCCTTCACGAAGCCCTCCCATGTTGGCATGTTAGGGTGCCCACAGGAGCCAAAAGAAAATAGCTTTCCGGCTCAAAAAGGGACGCACGAGGCAAATCTGATGTTGGAATGTTCCAATAGGAGCGAGGCCTCTTCCGTTGGGGGACCGAGTGACTAGGAAACGAGGGTTCCCCGGTTTGTCACGCGCGAGCACGAGCGTGACACTGCACTTGGCGCCGAGCGCCCGCGGCTCAGACCTTGTGCAAGCCGACCCTCGGTGGACACGCCAGTCCGGACCGTGGGCGCTCGGTGTGGAGCAAGCAAGACCCCCCCCCCCCCCATCGGCGCGCGCCCGAGGTTCAAACGGCCGCCAGGAGCACCAAGAGGACTCCTCATGGCTGTGTCCAAGTGGGCTTCGACCGGCCTCGGCTGGGGGGGCGGGTTGTCCCGGTTGCGGACGCCTTCTGCAGCCCCCTGGGCCCGTGACAGCACCCCAAAACTGCCCCTCGGCGGCATACAGCACTGCCAGCCAGCCTCTTCCTCCTCCTCAAGGGCTGTACTATAGGCCATATTGCGCCGCCTCCTACTGGCAGCCGGGCGGGCGCGCGCCGCGGGCGCCTCGGCACGCGCACGGCTCGCAAAATTCGAACGAGTACTGCCGCCCGGCCG